TAAACCATGCGTGTTGTAAAAGTCAACTAAAATGCCGGGAACAATGGGCTAGTAACCCCTTTTCCTGTAAAGATTACTAAAAAGAATAAGAAGAAGAAAATTGTCAAAGTGGGAAGTCTGAATGTGCGTGGATGTTGTGCAAATGATAAGAAAGAGATGATTGTGAATGTTATGAATGAGAAGAAGCTGAATGTCCTGGCTTTAAGTGAAACAAAGCTGAAGGGGGTGGGAGAGTTTCAATGGAGAGGAATAAATGGGATTAGGTCAGGGGTTTCAAACAGAGTTAGAGCTAAAGAAGGAGTAGCAATAATGTTGAAGGATAAGCTATGGCAGGAAAAGAGGGACTATAAATGTATGAAACAATATTGTTTCATACTATGGAACAATGCTCTTCTCCAGACTGACGGACTGACCACCTCAAAACTTTAAGGGTGATGGACTGATTACATCGTCTTCAAGTATCTTCTGCTTCTATCAACTTTTCTGTACTTGACTGAAGAAGCCTACTGTGTAGGCGAAACGTTTCATAATAAAGATACCTAACTGTTGCATACGTGTCTTACCTAACAGTAGTAGGTAAATTTGGGGTGCCAGGGGCAAATGTAAATGGGGGAGCCTTTAATTGAGCTATGTGTAGAAAGAGATTTGGTAATAAATAATACATGTTTTATGAAAAAGAGGATAAATAAATATACAAGGTATGATGTAGCACGTAATGAAAGTAGTTTATTAGATGAAGTATTGGTGGATAAAAGGTTGATGGGTAGGCTCCAGGATGTACATGTTTATAGAGAGGCAACTGATATATCGGATCATTATTTAGTTGTAGCTACAGTTAGCATAAGAGGTAGATGGGAAAAGAGGAAGGTGGCAACAACAAGTAAGAGGGAGGTGAAAGTGTATAAACTAAGGGAGGAGGAAGTTCGGGTGAGATATAAGCGACTATTGGCAGAAAGGTGGGCTAGTGCAAAGATGAGTAGTGGGGGGGTTGAAGAGGGTTGGAATAGTTTTAAAAATGCAGTATTAGAATGTGGGGCAGAAGCGAGGAGACAGTTGGAGGCAGTGGAGATGTCCTGTTTAATTTAAGGGCAATGTGTGGTGTAAATATTATGCAGAAAATTCGGAGTGTGGAAATTAGGAAAAGGTGTGGAGTTAATAAAAGTATTAGTCAGATGGCAGAAGAGGGGTTGTTGAGGTGGTTTGGTCATTTAGAGAGAATGGATCAAAGTAGAATGACATGGAAAGCATATAAATCTATAGGGGAAGGAAGGCGGGGTAGGGGTCGTCCTCGAAAGGGTTGGAGAGAGGGGGTAAAGTAGGTTTTGTGGGCAAGGGGCTTGGACTTCCAGCAAGCGTGCGTGAGCGTGTCAGATAGGATTGAATGGAGACGAATGGTACTTGGGACCTGACGATCTGTTGGAGTGTGAGCAGGGTAATATTTAGTGAAGGGATTCAGGGAAACCGGTTATTTTCATATAGTCGGACTTGAGTCCTGGAAATGGGACGTACAATGCCTGCACTTTAAAGGAGGGGTTTGGGATATTGGCAGTTTGGAGGGATATGTTGTGTATCTTTATATGTGTATGCTTCTAAACTGTTGTATTCTGAGCACCTCTGCAAAAACAGTGATAATGTGTGAGTGTGGTGAAAGTGTTGAATGATGATGAAAGTATTTTCTTTTTGGGGATTTTCTTTCTTTTTTGGGTCACCCTGCCTCTGTGGGAGACGGCAGACTTGTTGAAAAAAAAAAAAAAAAATTCAGGGAAACCAGTTATTTTTATATAGCCGGACTTGAGTCCTGGAAATGGGAAGTACAATGCCTGCACTCTAAAGGAGGGGTTCGGGATATTAGCAGTTTGGAGGGATATGTTGTGTATCTTTATAGGTATATGCTTCTAAACTGTTGTGATCTGAGCACCTCTGCAAAAACAGTGATTATGTGTGAGTGAGGTGAAAGTGTTGAATGATGATGAAAGTATTTTCTTTTTGGGGATTTTCTTTCTTTTTGGGTCACCCTGCCTCGGTGGGAGACGGCCCACTTGTTGAAAAAAAAAAACTTCAGAAAAATATTCTCTAGCATTTCATAAGAAAAAATAACAACTTATTTTTTAAAATTCTTGGACCCTGTGGACAAGTTTCAGATCAGGGGTTTGGACACTGAAAGGGTTAAATAATTAGAAAAACACCTGCGCCTGCCCTGGTTGTACGTATTTTAGCTAAAAAAAAATGAGAAATGTCAGAAAATGCTTCAAACTGTTCAGAATCAATGAAATATGCAACAACATTTTAAAACATTTTTTCTAATTTTTTAATGCTTCACATACTTTAAAAAAAATCATTTAAAGCATAAAATAAAATAAAAAAATATTTAGAATTCTGACTGTAGCCTTGTACAGAAAATACACGACAGGGAGGAAGGAGGCAGGTTAGCTCTCCTGGTATTCTCTTCTCTCTTTGTCTCACCAGCTGGGTATCTTTATTGCTGAATACAGAGCTGACTATACAGCCTCTCTTCACTTAGCAATGTACTCATTTACCAACAAATTGCACTTACGATGGGCTCTCTGGCCAGTAGGCATACCTCAGTAATGTATATTAGAGCTGATTTCCTCTATTCTGCTTATTACAATAAACAGTATGCTATTGCATAAACATTTAAAATATAATAAAAATGTTATAAATGGTGAAAAGGTGACATTAAAACAATATCAAAGATAGGTGACACAAACCCACTACCATTATGTGGCATAAATATTATGCAGAGAATTCAGAGTGTGGAAATTAGGAGAAGGTGTGGAGTTAATAAAAGTATTAGTCAGAAGGCTGAAGAGGCGGTTTGGTCATTTGGAGAGAATGGATCAAAGTAGAATGACATGGAGATAGACTCAAATTTCAAACACATGTACAACAAATATCCAAGAAAATCTCCAAAACCATAGGCATACTATCTAAGAAATGGTACTATGTTCCACATACTATCTAAGAAATGGTACTATGTTCCACATACTATCTAAGAAATGGTACTATGTTCCACAGTCAGCCCCCCTGGCCCTATATCACTCACTTATTTACCCCTATCTCACCTATGGAATTTGTGCATGGGGCTCAACAATAATAAATCATCTCAGACCATTAATTACCCAACAAAAGGCTGCAGTCAGAATAATAACAAATTCCCACTCCAGGCAGCACACTCCACCAATATTAAAAACTCTAAACTTACTCACCATACAAAACATCCATACTTATTACTGCACCTACTACATACATAGAACACTTAACTCGGATATAAACCCTCCCCTCAAACTTCTCCTTACCAACCTCAACAGAACACATTACCATAACACAAGGCACAGATCACTCTTTGATGTTCCCCATGTCCATCTCACACTATGTAAAAACTCAATGCACATAAAAGGCCGAAAAATCTGGAATTCATTGCCTGTGAATATAAAATAAATACTGTTTGTTTATCAATTCAAGACTCTTCTTAAAAACCACTTAATCACCCACAACTAAATAAATACTGATTAACAGTATCTCATAAATGTATCACCTGTGTCCCTAGCAAACTGTTTTTTTTTTAATTACATTACCTAATAGAATACTCCATTCCCTTGAATGCTCAGTAACTCATCTAATGACCATATGACCTGTTTCTGCACTACAAATCATTGATTTTATTCAATTTGATCGGATTATATTATACATTGTTATGCTACAAATTTGTACAACTTTAATGCTTCATATTCAAAATATTCATTTGTACTTCATGTTACCAATGAATATATCATTGCTTAGTTAATCTTAAGTTAATTTTAAGCCTGTCCATAATGCTCTGCATACAAGGGACTTTTGGCATGTACACCCAATCACTATATTTCTTTGTACAACTATGTATCATGTCCAAATAAAAAAAAAAAAATCTCTAGGGGAAGGAAGGTGGGGTAGGGGTCGCCCTCGAAAGGTTGGAGGGAGGGGGTAAAGGAGGTTTTGTGGGCGAGGGGCTTGAACTTCCAGCAAGCGTGCGTGAGCATGTTAGACAGGAGTGAATGGAGACGAATGGTATTTGGGACCTGACGAGCTGTTGGAGTGTGAGCAGGGTAATATTTAGTGAAGGGATTCAGGGAAACCAGTTATTTTTATATGGCGGGACTTGAATACTGGAAATGGAAAATACAATGCCTGCACTTTAAAGGAGGGGTTTGGGATATTGGCAGTTTGGAGGGATATGTTGTGTATCTTTATACATATATGCTTCTAAACTGTTGTATTCTGGGCACCTCTGCAAAAACAGTGATTATGTATGAGTGAGGTGAAAGTGTTGAATGACAATGAAAGTATGTATTTTCTTTTTTGGGGATTTTCTTTCTTTTTGGGTCACCCTGCCTCGGTGGGAGACGGCCGACTTGTTGAAAAAAAAAATTACTTATCCTTGCAGTAACTGATGGTCTAATATGGTAAACAGTACAGACAAAAAAATGCTGTGATCATACCTGACAATGATGTGAACATGACAACTCTACATGATCTCTCAACTGCCTCTAGCATCTAGTCTGTTAAAACAGACACTTGGAATATTCAGCTACTGGGACAAAGAAGTATGTTTTAGCCACGTATAAACATTATGTGTATTATTTCCATTTAGAAAGCAAATTGAAAAGTTACTCTATTGCACAAGTCACGCATTACTGCAACACTGGCATTTAAAAAAATCCCAACCTACCCTATCGACTCTATTTTTTTTTTTTAGCATGTTACCAGAAACACCTTTTTGGGGAAAAAAAGGAGAGTAAGTTAGTTTTTTCTTTCTTCTTTCAACAAACCGGTTGTATCCCAGCGAGGCAGGGTGGCCCAAAAGGAAAAACGAAAGTTACTAGCCCCTTGCTCCCAGCATTTTAGTCTCCTCTTGCGACATGCATGGCTTACAGAGGAAGAATTCTGTTCCACTTCCCCATGGAGTTTTTTCTTACCACACACAAATATTTGTAAAGACTTACCTATAACAATTTCTACCATACTGGCAGGTTTTCCGAGGTACTTTCTTTTGGGTAACAGCTGGACTTGTTCCTGTAGCTGTAGATGAAACTGGAGCATTACTGCTTACATTATTTGTGTCATTTATTGTCCCATTAAGTTCATCGTCATCTTCGCTCTCGCTTATATTACGATGCTTGCTCGGTGAATGGCGACGATCAGGTGGTGATTCTTGCTTAGCGTAATCGTGCCTCTTAGTATTACAGGTACTCTGATCTCTAGTCTGGTTTTCTTCATTGGTAGCCTCTCCATCACTGTCTTCTTCACTCATATTGTGAACTTTACCTAGTCGATTTTTTGGAGAGGAAACTTTTATGGGTGAAGCTATTGCCTTCTTTGTACTCAAGTCCTGTTTATTTTTAGTAGGTGTAGTGCTGTTTTTTTGCTTATTTAATTTACTGTTTGAAGCCACATCATCATTCTGGACAGCTGGAAGTGCCGTCACAGCTGGACTCGTGGACAGACGGTCCCTGACAGTGGTGTTTGTACTCGCCTGTGTGGAAAATTTGCCTCAGAACTGTTTTTACATAAGTGGATACTTAAGATATGTATAAATAAGAATTGAACATTTACAATTTTTATGAACTATATACACTAACAGACAAGATATTATTATTATTTTTGTAACATAATGGCCGTTTCCCACCAAGGCAGGGTGGCCAGAAAAAGAAAAACTTTCATCATCATTTGCTCCATCACTATTTTGCTAGAGACATGCTTACACTACAGTTATAATTATTATTATTATTATTATTATTATTATTATTATTATTATTATTTCAACAAACTGGCCGTATCCCACCAAGGCAGGATGGCCCAAAAAGAAAAAGAAAAGTTTCTCTTTTTAACTTTAGTAATGTATACAGGAGAAGGGGTTACTATCCCCTTGCTCCCTATTATTATTATTATTATTATTATTATTATTATTATTACAGGTCCGCCATCACAAATCTGGCAATCAGTTATTCGGTTCCTTCAGTTATTCGGCACTAATTTTGGCTAGCATAATTTCAAATTTCCAGGGTCGCCACACCAACCTGCTGGTACTGTTTGGTGGCGCTACTTGCTGCATAAGTCATTCCAATTTCTTTTTCTCCATTTATTGTTTTAACCTGCTTACTTTTAGCCCTAGCCACGGTTCTAATGAATAAAAGAAATGCTTCTCATTATGTAAAGCACCTACACAGTACATTATCCATTAAAGATAAGGTGGCTTTGAAGCCACTGTCGGTTGCCATGAGCTCAGTCTCAAGCAGGAGAATATGCTTTATTATTACGCTAATATCAACACTACAGCTTATTTGCCTATCACAATTGATCTAATATGACATAAGAAACAATATAAATAACATAAAATATGTTAAATACTCCAGAATGAATAATATTTGGCATAACACCGAGCAGTTCGACAGAGTTATGAAGAGGATATGATAAACAAATACCATTCTCCTATCCTTGTCTTGGGGACTTATATTAGAGAAAACGGAGTATAGCACAGGGCTAACTATGATATACACTCGTACTCCAACATAAACATGAAACAAAAAAGTTATTTTCTCTATAGATTATTACATATAGCAGCATATGTGTAGAGAACCTAGGATAACCCCAAAAAAGTCAACGTGGCTTATTTTTAGTACCAAGCTTGGATTATCCATATATGATTTTTGGTAAATATTCGATTCCCAGCCAGGGTAGAAACATTAGGTGTATTTCTTTACACCTGTTGTCTATGTTTACCCATCAGTAAATGGGTACCTGGGTGTTAGTCAACTAGTGTGGGTGTTATCCTGGGACACTGACCTAATTTTCTTGAAATACTCAGCATAACAAGTGCCTTTCTATACAGTAGTATGTCACTCGTATTGTAGATAGTGACCCTCATATTGTAGATAGTCTTAATGACCCTCGTGTAGCAGATAGTCTTTTTAGTATGATAAAAAGATGTTATCTTCATTATAGAATAATAAGAAAATATTATAACATTTATATTATAATAAGGTAAAAGGACCCCAATGGAAATAAGTCACTCTGTCTGACTTCTTTTGGGTTATCCTAGGTTCTCTACAAATATGCTGCTGTGTATGATAATTCTATGTAACTGTATTTGTGTATACCTGAATAAACTTACTTACTGATGTCATGTACATGTATGTGTAGTAAATAAAGATATTATTATTATTATTATTATTATTATTATATTATTATTATTATTTTTTCAGTTGTTTGTTGGGTTATCTTATTCAAACTTGGGCAATGTATGATGGAAAGATACTTCTTCACGTACACCAAAAATGAAAGAAATCAGACCATAAATAGCGGAGTTCACTTCTCAGCCATTAGCGGCCGCTTAGCGGTATATTTTTGTATGGTTGTTATGGTTATATTCTCATTTTTTCGGTCTCATTTGATAGAATGAAAGATATATTACAGAAACAGATATGATTTTGATTACTTTCATGACAAAAAGTACCTTGAAATTGCGTTCACAGTAGCGAAAATGTTCTATTCTTTAGCGAAGCTCAAGAGTAAACAAATGACGTCACTGTCCAATACCTGTTCGCCTGCCAGTCTAAATTCCAGTACGGAGTCAAGAATGGATTGACATTATATATACAATTATTACAATAATGCAGTAGTCTGCATAACAGTAAATCTTTTATTTTTTTTTTTTTTTTGTGAATAAAAATTCCAAATGGTAAGCAAGAGTAATATAAGAGGGGCCTGGAGCCATGACTAATGAGCAGAGAAAATGTTATTTTAGTCCCAGGAATGTCTGCATTGTTTATTCTGGATCCTATTTTGAAATTGGCATCTGTTGAAATTTGTGTGAAATCGGCCAAATTGCCAATTTCTGACCACTTTATTGGGTAGTTGAAATAAGTAAATGGGCGGTTTCTTGTACTCAGTTGACAGACTAGAAGTAAATACGTTTATTCAGGTATACACAAATACAGTTACATAGATTATCATACATATCAGTGTATGTATAGAGAACCTAGGATAACCCAGAAAAGTCAGACAAAGTGACTTATTTCCAGTACCTGGCTTGGGCTTGCCATATATGATTTTTGGTAAATATTTTTTTTTCTCGGTTGTTTGTTGGGCTATCTCAATGAAACTTGGGCAATGTATGATGGAAAGATGCTTCTTAATGTACAACAAAAATAAAAATGACGGACGATAAATAAGGGAGTTCACTTCTCAGCCATTAGCCGCCTCTTTGTAGTATATTTTCGATTGGTTTTTATGGTTGTATTCTCATTTTTTGGACTCATTTGATATAATGGAAGATATATTACAGAAATAGACATGATTTTGATTGCTTTCATGACGAAAAATACCTTGAAATTGAGCTCAAAGTAGCGGAAATGTTCGATTTTTCCCGATGTTCAATGAACTGTGTAAGTCAAGTAGGTTAATTTTATTAAGTGTATTCTAACTTAGCCACTCTGTAATTCGGCAAACTCAGTAATCCGGCACACTACAGGTCTCAATGATGCCGGATTTGTGATGGAGGACCTGTATATGCAAAAGTACTAAGCCTGAAGAAGGCCAAATTATTAGGGATGGAATGATACTAAAATTTTCATCAATTTTGATACCATCAAAACAGGCTGATACTCAGATGCCTATATCAATACCAATACCATTAGAATTAACTAATGGTCACCGATACCAATACCGACACTCAAGTTTTAGGCTGGTACCATTACTTTGGCACATTCCTACAAATTATCATCAATTGTTATGGAATTTACTCTTAATGGTATTTATAAAGTAAAACCAGCCCAACATCTCACAATATATTAAATAAATTACTTGGTTTTTAACAGTCCTACAGCACATGGGGAATGAGATGTAATTAAATTTTGATTGAAGAGAAAAGTAGCTCCAGTTCCTTGGAACCAAGATCCTTCATCATCACTCTTATGACAACCATATTTGCATAACGATACCTTTGTACCTTACTTTTGATGAGTTTCGAGAGTCTTACTATTCTCGAAGCCCAGCCATAGGCTAGGCTCATCTGGTGTTTGCCTGGTCAACCAGGCTGTTGCTGCTGGAGGCCTGCTGCCCCACATATCTATCACAGCCTGGTTGATCTGGCAAACAGCCTGATCTGATGATATTAACCCTTTCAGGGTCTGTGCCATATATCTACGGCTTTACACTGAGGGTCCAAACCGTAGATATACACCATGAGCTCAGCTCACTCTGATAAGCTGTGAGTGGTAAATGTGGGCCTAGATATGAGAGAATACATCTATGTGGTATGTGTGCACCACATAAAACAAATCCTGCAGCACACAGTGCATAATGAGAGAAAAAACCGAGACCGTAATTTTCGATTAAAACAGCAACTTTGCAGTGTTTTTCCATATGTTTTTTATGGTTGTATTTGTAATTTCCTGGTCTCATTTGATAGAATGGAAGATATATTACAGAAATAGAGATGATTTTGATTAGTTTTTAGCACTGAAAATGGCTTGAAACAGCTCAAAGTAGCTGAAATGTTAAATTTTTGCCGATGTTCAAGAGTAAACAAATGGCCTCACATGTCTAATACATGACAGCTGGTGGTCAAATTTGGGTTTCCCAAAAATGGCTGAATTTTTTTTTTAAAAATTATTACAATAGTGCAGACAGTAAATCTTCAAATTTTTTTGGTTTAAAATAAAAATTCGATATTAAATTAAATATAAAAAGGGAATTATTGTAAAAGCCTAAAAATGTAAAAATGAAAGAGGAAATGTTAGCTTATGCCAGGAATGCCCGCATTGTTTATTCGGACCCATTTTAAAAAAATTGGAACTTTTAAAAATTCGCACAAAATTGGGAAAAATTTAAACCAATTTCCAATCATTTTATTTTTGTAGTTTAAAACATTTAGGGGGCGATTTTTGTGCTAGTCGATAAATGATGTAATACAGTGAAATAGCAAAAATTTGGTCACTGGAATAAGATAATTGGCGAAGAGGGGGAGTCAAAGTCGGCAAAATTGCCGATGCAAAAAATATCGCTTAACCTCAAAATTCGCGAGACAAAATTTTTCATAAAATTTTTTCCAAAAACTTTCGTACTTTTTGTTTTTTTACCTTCAGAAAAAATTCCAAAAACCTTTTCATAAAAAAAAAAAAAACAAAATTTTTTTTTTAAAGTTCTTGGCCCTGGTGCAACTTTGAAATTTGGCCTCTGGACCCTAAAAGGGGTTACTGTTTTATGATTAAACTTACGCAGCATGGTACCATCCTGCACAGTGGAGGTCCCTTTGGGTACCTACAAGGCATAAAAAATTTTTTTTTTCAAACACCAGCCATACCCCACTGGGGAGGTGCCAAAAAAAAAAAATTTTTTTTCTTTTTAAATTTAAAATTTTTATACAAGAAAGCGGTTACTAGCCCCTGCTCCCGGGCATTTTAGTCACCTCACAATATGTATGGCTTACGGGGGAAGAATTCTTTTCCACTTCCCCCCAAAAGATAGAAAAAA